GAGCTGCTCGAGCGCGAGTTGCTGCGTCTCGAGATTCAGCCTCGCCTGTCCAATCTTCTCGACCTGCCCCTCGTACATCTTCTTCCGCTTGATGCACTGGAGCGCCTGCCGTCCCGACAGCGCGCGCGCGTCAGGGGGCGGTGCGGCCAATCGCCGACCGACGCGGCCCTGGCTTCGACCGGCCGCCTCGCCAACGCGGCCGGGGCGAGAGGGGAGGCAAGCCGGGCCGAGTGGGGAGGCGCGCGCCTGACTCTTTTTGCCTTGGCCCATAAACTTCTTGGCCTCGTCGGTCTGTGGGCGGGCGGGGGCATGCTCAGGACGCCGCCGCCGCGAGGCGTCTGCACCCTAAACCTCATGTGCAGTCCAAGGATCTGAGCCGCAACGCACCTCCTTCTTAATTTTGTTATTGAGGTAGTCTTCTCGCTTGTCCAGCGTGTCGCCCGCATCGCGCAGCTTTGTGATTGCGTTCAGAGTGCTGGACGCTGACACCGTTGGACCGGCATTCGATGTCGGCGGGGGCGGCGGTTCTGCGATTTGCGACGGACGTCGGGGTGAGCAGGGTCCAAGAAAAGCTGGGGCTTTCAGCGGTGGGGTCGCACCGGCCTTTTTTCTCCCGAAGAGGTTCATTTCCGGCGGCGGGACAGTGGTCAAATGCGCGAAGGGTGCGCGAGTTAGCTCTTTGGAAAACCGCGCAGCCGCGCCTTTGCCCGGCCGATGCCGAAGAAAGATGAAAGGGCGACCCGGTTACCTCCAGCTTTTCTTCACCTTCCTCCCAGAGATAGGAAGAGGCAGACTCCCTAGGGTGGGCGACGGCTAGCGCACCACACACCTCTCCTTAAAATCCCTGTGTCGTGGCGGCGTGCCGTCCTCCCATCCCTCCCGTGGGTTGTCTGTTTTCTTTCTTTCTTTCTTTACCTTCCTCCCTTGGGTTGCGTGTTTTCTTTCTTTCTTTCTTTCACCTTCCTACATACATACATCCCTCCAGGAGATTTGACTTATTTTTGTCCGGTCGCCTTCTCGGCCTGCGAGGATCGGCCGAAAGCAAGAAACGACACTAGACGCCCGCCCGCTGGGCCTGCGGGGGGGGGGGCGCTTCAAGGGTGGAGGAGGATCGGCCGAAAGGCGAGAAAGCAAGAAAAACGAGCGCCTCGCGATTCGCCGGCGCGCTCGGCGTGGGGGGGGGGGGGGGGGGGCGCTGCCCACAACTGTTTTTACCTGAACTGTCAGAGTTGGGAGTTGGCAACTCTGTGTACTGTTGTGTCAGCGAGAGAGGAGAGAAAGTTTTTCGGCGTTAATTGAAAAGGTCGATCACTCCGCCTTTCGCCTCTCCCGGACGGTCGTGCCGCCGCCGTCGAGCGGCGTGTGCGGCGGCGCGGTGGCGGTCGTGCGCCACAGCGCGTGCAGGCAGGCGGCGTAGGCGCCGACGAGGTGGCAGCACGCGTACGCGGAGAAGGCGACGGCGTGCAGGTCGGGGTAGCGGCGCGGCGGCGGCAGGGCCGCCTCGGCGACGTGGAGCGCGACCATCCCGGCGAGGGA